ATGAACGAGGAGTTAACATAAGTGGCATTATTTTCCTGCTGATTCCTGTGTCCATGATCTCTGTGTCTTATATACAAATTATATGGACTGTTCTCCAAATGCAATCATCAGGCACACGTAAAAAAACATTTTCCACCTGTTCCTTCCACATGGTTGTGGTCATAATGTACTATGGACCATTTATTTTCACATATATGAGACCTCGATCATACCACACTCCAGGCCAGGATAAGTTCTTGGCAATATTCTACACCATCCTGACACCCACACTCAACCCCATTATCTACAGCTTTAGGAATAAAGATGTTCTCATGGCTGTGTCATGGCCATGAAATATATATTTAAAAGTAACTTTCTTCACAAAAATTAAATGAGAAAATACTTGAATTCCATGTTCTCTCTTTTCCCTATTCACTTGTTAAGGGTTTCTAATAGATTTTCTCTGTAAAGGAACTAAAGCTTCTGTTTCTCTTTTGGTGGAAAGAAATCTGTATTTAAAAATCCTGATAATGGTAACACTATGATATAGTTAGAGTTTTAAATTCATGCTAGTATATTATATTTCCTCTTATGATATGAATTTTATCATGTAGATAATAAGAAGTGAAGGATGACTAGGAGTTCAAATGCCCTGCCACTGAAATAACAATTTGAAAGAATACCTTTAAAATACAATTGTGCTACACAAGAAACCTTTATGTGGGACTGAAGAGAGATGGCTCAGTGGGTAAGAGCACTGGTTGCTCTTACAGAGGTCCCAGGTTTGATTCCCAGGAAGCACATGGTGGCTAACAACCCTTTCTAACTCCAGTTCCAGGGGATCTGATGCTCTCTTCTGACCTCTGTGGGCATTGCATGATACAGGTGCACTTACATGCATGCATGCAATACACTCATACACACACACACAAAAATAAAAATAATCAAATGTTAAAAAAGAAACATCTATGCTGATTTTTCTACAGTTTTGATAATTATTAAAATATATTTCCATTTATTAAGTAATTTAGTCATTTTGGGGTGGACATATCATAGTTTTCATGTAGCTTTTGTGTCTGTACATGTCTAGAGCATTTTGTTGGTTGAATATTTCTTCCTTTTTGTTCAAATCACCTTTTCTTTCAGTAGATGTTTATACAGTGTTCAGGATAAACAAATTTGTATGACTAATGCCTTCAGTGAGCTGTTCAGGATGTAAAGTCTTCCAGAGTCCCATTAGAGTAGCATTTGGCTTGCTATCAATTTTTTCCCAGCTTGCTGCATCTATCCACATTTGCTTCAAGTGACCTGGGCAGATCCCTTTGTATAATGTGTCCTTTCCACAGCTCTTTTATATTTCTCTTCAAAAATACCTTATTTCCATTTTCTATTTTTCTATTTTTCTGATTTCCTCAGTACTGCTCAGATTATTCAACCTTTGTTTCAAATAGGGGTAGGTACCTATAATATTCAGTTCTTCCACTTCCACTGCACTTACACAGATCCCATCTTCCCCCATGTCCCAGAGGCTCACAGGCTGGAAAAGACATTTTCACTTATTACTTGAAAGTTCTTTCCAATGCAAATAGTTGAGGCCAAATACTCCCTGAAGATCAGGATTTCATGCAGTGCGTCACTATTAAAACCTTTATTTGTACACTGAATTATGGGGTATTCTCTTCCGTTGTCTTAAAGATTGGACCCATGTGCTATTTTCTGTCAGTTTTACATTTCATTACCCTGTGCTGATGAGGGAGAATTCCGGTGAGCTCATGCCTGCAGGATCCTGGCTTGTGGGAATCTCTGGCTCCATAGTTCACACAGCTCTTGCACTACATTTTCCCTACTGTCACTCTAGGGCCATTGATCACTTTTTCTGTGGAATCCCTGTTCCCTATAGGCTCAGGTACTAGAACCATTGGAACCTAGTTGGTGGTGCTGTTTGAGGAGGTGCAGCCTTCCTGGAAGAAGTGTACCAACAGGGCAGGCTTAGGATCCTGAAAGGCAGTAGTTCTAGGAGTCACGTGGATAGTGGAGGCTGGGTTCATGAGGTTTTAGAGAGGAACAATATTAGTAATGGGGATAGAGGCCATTCGTGTGATATTTTGGCAAAGAATCCGTTTTCTGCCCAAGTCCTGAGAATTTGTGTGGCTGAATTTAAAAAGTAGTTGGCCAATTTTTTTGGTGAATGAAATTTCAAGACAACACAATGTTGAGACTGCAGCTTGGTTATTACTAATAACTCTTGTTCAGGTTTGCATTGAAAAGTGAGGCAGAAAGAAATGACAGAATGTCCAGGTTGGAGGGAAGTTATCACTTGCAAGCTTAATGCTGTACCCAAGTCATATGCTAAAAGAGGAGCTGTAATTGTTCCATAGATTACTACCAGCAAGGAGAGGCCTCCTGCTCTGCACTGGAAAATTTGGAAGGGTGCCCTGGTAGTAAGACCCTGCTCACTTAGGCTTCCAACTTGTGAAAGGGAAAGGCTGAAAAGTTGTCTTTCCCTAGAAAACAACGGCATACAAAAACTGCCACAAATGTGATTCAGAGTGAAGGTCCATCCCAGGCTGTCATTCAAACTTGGCAGTGTTGATTTACATTTTACCAGTTCTGGAGGCATGAAAGAAGCAATTGTGAGCACATCACGGATTCTTTCTTTATGGATTCACGCTGCTCCCGACATGTGGCATGGGAATCCCTGCAAGGCTGTGAGAGATCACTGCATGAAGCTGTGAAAGTGAAGCCTGGGTTGCAGTGGAGACCCCAAGATGTTGGAGATACTGGAGCAATGAGACATCTGCCAAGGATGGATGCACAAAGGGAAACAACCCAAAAGAGAGATGGATGCTGAAGGCAGTAAAGCTGGAGGGGGAGAGCTATCTAAGTCCTTTGAAACATGGAGCTACAGGATTTTGTGTTTACTGGGTTTCAGCCTTGCTTTGACTCAGAATTTCCCCACTGTAGCCCCCATTCCTTCCTTTCAGAATGAAAATGTACATACTCTGTGATACTGATTTCTGGAAGTATGTAATTTGATTTTTGATTTTACACAACTTTGTAGTTAAGAGATTGTCTTGAGTCTCAGAAGAGAACATGATGCCTGGAATGGAGCCAGGGAGGTAAAGGGAAAGAAGGAACCAGAGAGAGAGAGGAACAGTAGGAGACAGATGTTACTAGGGGGAAAATGGGTAAATGAAGATATTTAAATGGAAGGGGAAGAGGGAGGGTTATACAAGTGACCACAGGGGTAAAGGAGAAGATGGAACTCAAGAGAGGGGGGATGATAGGAGATAGGTATTATCAAGAGTGAAATGGGGAAAATGAGGGTACTTTAACTGGGGAAGGAGGGCTAGAGAGAGGAGAGATAAATAATGCTTAGCTGGTGTGAAGAACCAGAGGGAAATGTAATAGTTCAAAAACCTACTGAAAAATTATGCATATAATGTATCTACATGTGTCCTTGTACATAGCTGAAGGCTATGTAACAAGAAACAGTGCCGGGTAGGAGAAACCTTCATTCCAGTTGTTGCCCAGGGTAATTAAAGAGACTCCCCAAATCACACAGGTTATTGCCACAGTCCTTAACTGCCTCCCAGAACTTGAAGGCCAGACCCTGAAGACAGGATGTACTTTGGACATGGGACTTGGAGCAATGGAGTTGGAACTGAACTGGAATCCTTCTCCCTGATGCCTAGCTCTTACAGTTTTGGAGGACTCTATGAAAGCTGTTAAGGGAGAACATCAGTCAATGGTTCAAGCCCAGCTTTAATCTAATGACCACAACCATGACCAGCCCAGCCAACTACATTGGTGCAGTATTGGCACTTTTATTTTGAAAGTGGGTAATTGACAGCTACCTAATTGGACTTAAAGCCAACTCACTGGCAGGGAAATTTGTGTAAGTATAGCCAAATACAGATGGCTGGATCAGTTATAGTTCTTAGAGAAAACTATAAGGCTCTAACACCCCTAGATAAATGCTATTTCTTACTATATGCTAATTTTGGGTCCTTATATTTACAGACAAGTATGCTTATCACCATTGATCAAAAAGCCTCTTTTGCAACAGAGGAGACTATTACTGTGTTTTGCAACTGGTCACCCACAGAGAATAAATATCTCTGAGATGCACAACCCTAAGTGACACAGCTAAAATGGAATTTCTACACCTAAAACTCACAGAACATACTGGAACAAGAGGGTAGAAAGAATGCTAATGCATCTCTCAACTCTCATTAAAGAATCTCCCTCATTCAACAGAGGGAAATGAACACAATAGGCTACAAATGGCCAATGTGTAGAGAATAAGAGTCTGCAGAGTATGGGTCCTTAGACAGGACTCATATATATAAATCCACCCACCCAGGGCTCAGGGACCATTGAGGAAGAGGGCACAGAAAGATTGTAAAAGCCAGGGAGGAGGTGCATGACTATATGGAAATAGTCCTACAGGCTCCTGGGACTCTTCTCATACAACTTACAACAATGGTCTCGGCACACACAAGACCCATGCAAACTTAAGCAGACAAATATCCAGCACAGAACTGTGGAAATGGGTAGCAGGCCCCAATCTTAGTCAAAGAACTATTGAGCAGCTGATTACTACTGGATGAGAAAGAGCTGATTTTGTTTAAGGGAATGACTTTATATAGAATGACTAGACCCCAGTGGATGTACTTGCACTGAGTGATGTCAGGGAACACTTAACTTGACTTGATAGACCTTAATAGAAATATAACAGAATGCATGAAATCCGGTGGGGGGGGTATGAGAGGGTGTGGATGGGGGAGCGGATATAAAGATGAGCAAGACGTTTTGTATGAAATACACAAAAGTTCGATAAAAATATACAAAACATTAATTCAACAAAAACAAATGGAGAAAGACTAAGGAAAGAATTTCCAATATAAACTGACATTGTATATATAAACATTAAAGGAAAAAGTCATTCCTGAGATGAAAGTCACATCCTGACGTGGTTCCTTGTCCTGGTGTGCCAGAGTTCTCAAAAAGGATCTGCTGGTCTTGATTTACAGGTGGGGGCCGTCAGTGCCCCTATATGCTGCCCAGGTCAGAAACATGTCAAACAAAAAGAAAAAAAAAAGAAAGAAAAAGTTATTTATGAGGCTGGGGGGGTGACTCAGCAATTAAGAGCACTTACTCTTCCAGAGGGCCTGGTTTGGTTCCCAGCATGCTCATGACTACTAACAACAATCTTTAACTCCAGTTTCCGGGGATTCAATGTTCTCTTCCTGTCATCTCATCCACCAGTCCTGCACATACTGCACTTACATAAATGCAGACAAAACACTCATAGACATAAAACATTCATTTCTAAAAAAGAAAAATTATCTATACAAACAACTAACCTCAGACAGAACATAAGTGAAAATTAATGCTGTAAATCTGTATTCTAGTATAATTTTGTTTTTACAATATAACATTAATGAACGTATATAGAAAAGCTAAAGATTATGCACCAAGTGGTTGGTAGCAGTTTTGTGATTGGATGGAATTATGAGAACTTCTTCATTCCTTAATAAATGTTTTTACAATGATGAAACTCAAAATAATAAATTTAAAGTGAGATTTATCATGTTGGCTTAGCCTTTTCTCTCAGCATATTTCAATGATCCATCTGGACCACATGACCATTGTAAGAACCTGAGAAAGTGATTTCTGTATGTGGAACTTTATAGGAAAATGTAATAGATATCACACTACACTGGGGAGACATGAAATTTTCCACAAGGGACAATAATAAAAGGCAAAATGCATTTATGACTTTCCTATTACTAATTTAAAGTGATAAACTAACTGGTAATAGTTTATGTCTCCTTATATTTTCATCTCATTAACCACTAATATTTACTAAGTAGAATATAATTAAATAATATTATCCTTATCTCTACACTCTAGACCTAGGAAATAGATAAGAATCTCAAATAACCTTAAATATTCACTAGTTTAGTTTATCAATTAGTGGATGGAAAAGATAAGAAAGTGTGAAGTCCACTCATTCTTGCTCCTGTGTCGACACTACACATGCAGTGCCATACATCTTCCCTCTTAGTTCCAGAATGTTCTAAAAAGTACTGCATTTGAAATATTTGGTCACATGCTTTCAATTGTTATGAAATTGGTAGTAAATCTAGCAGGCTAGACTTCTCTGAATCTAAATATTCAGTTTGTCACAAGACATCTGGGTCAACCTGTGACTAAAGTATAATTTCTGACAAAATCAGTGCTTCAGTACACCAATTGTGTAACCTTTTGTGATCTAACTTAATAAAATGGGAATTTAATATGTGTTACCTAACATTCATTAGTTGTAGTTGAAATAATGGAGTGTGCCCTCCGTAGTCTATTTCCAGGCATCAAGTGATTGCAAGAGAGGTGATAGGCTTGGGTAGTTTCTCTAAGTTCAGAACTAAGTTGCCTAAAATCAGCAAAGGGAAGAGAAGCTTTCATGGTTCCAGTCTCTGTGGATTGGGACATGAGGGATCAATTAGAGGAAAGAGGTGAATATGTACGGTGTGAGGCTATACATATAAAATAGAGCATTTTGCCATCTGTCTTCCATCAGTTTAATCTGTGGGAATTTAATATAAATGTCTACTGTGTTTCACCTGAACAAATGACTCATAAAGATCTAACTAGGCAAGGAACATGCAACTATTTATGGAAAGGGAATGAGATTCTTTGCTGGTTTCATCATTGATAGAACGACTAGTGGTGGTAGCCAAGAGGAACATGTACTTCAATTCATACTTGAAAATTATTTTTCTGGGATTTTGCTAAATAAATGAGGGATTCTCACATAAAAGGCAGAGTTTTGGTCTTCATTAGGACTGTTGAAGAGGAAGAGGATCTTTGGGCATAACTGGAAGTCTATGTGAGCAGAGCTTGATGTTTACACCTTCCCAAGACAACGGGCTGTCAGCACAAGAACTTTGGACAAGGTGAGTCCAGATGGCATTGTCAAGCAGAGGTGGTTCAGGTTAGGTTAACTAGGGAAGATCTGGAGAGGTGGTTTCCTTGTCATGAAGAAACCCTTTCCCATGCACAGAGAATGTGGATTTTCATAACCAATTAGAAAAGATAAAAGTGAGCTTAGAATGCAAATGGAAGTAATACCAACTTGTTTTAGTTCTGTAATGTTCTGTTCTCAAAAGTTACGGCCTTAAATATGGGGCTGAATATTTTCTGTTCTTGAGTTTTCTCAAAGGCTAAGATGTGGAAGAAAAGAGACAGATCCTTACTTATTGTGTTATGGTTTAAATTTATTTACTCTATGACCGCTTATCTTTGTTTTATTTTCCTTAATTGATTAAATTTGAAGTGGACAAGTAGAAATAGAGGTGACACACTAAATAAATAAATGGAGAAGTTTCAAGTCATTCTTTGGCAGGGTGAGCTCTCTCAGTAGGTAAAGGCACTTGCCACTAAGCCTGATAAGCTGAGTTTGAGCCCCAGGATCTCCATTGTGGAAGGAAAGAACAGATGCCTGTAAGTTGTCCTCTGATCTTCACACACACACACACACACACACACACACACACACACACACACGTACTATGATACACCCAGAACCCAAGTAAATAGATAATATAATAAATTAAAAATATATAGATGAGCTGTAATTAAAGAATAGACAACTGCTCACACTAATCCTGAAGGATCGCCTTTGCCTCTGCTTTTCAATCCTGCTGACAGAGTAGGAAAACCGTGCTGCAGAATAGAGAAAAAGACAGAATCTTCCAGGAAACCCATGACTCATTGCTGGCTAACTCTGGAAATAGGAGTGGTTTCCTGATAAAGCAGCGTTAGCTACACTAACTGAAGTGATTGAGGTATTGTGAGCATATAAAGCATTAGAAAACCCTTACTACATTTCAGATGGACAAATGGATCAATTCCAGCTGTAAATTCGAGTTATTCTTCATATCAGTGACCATAACTATAATGAAAATGAAAACATCCACACCCAAATCTACATGATTTTATTGCTGTAGGATTAGAATAAAGGAAGCAATATGAAGAAGAGTTCCCACAAGTTATTGAATTACTGCATCTCAAAGATCAATATACATGTATCTATGTATATGTATAAGTGTAATTTGTTTGTCATATAACCACCAAACCATATTAAACAAACTTCATTTATATCTGCAGTTTACAGAGATGCAAAATACAATGAAAAATAAATATTGTGCAATCTGGAAGCCTTATTATGTATAATTTACTTTAAATAAATCTTCCAGTGTTAAAGTATATTAGATATCTGTAAATTTTCCAAAACTGGGAGCAACACTGGGGAAGTGGGAGCATAGTAATAGCACCTTATAGTTAGTGTGGTTCTCATAGCATACCATTCATGAATAGTGATTGAGGGTAATGGCACATTCTTAAGAAGGGAAAAAGTGTATCTTTGGAGAATTTGAGAGGCTGAGCATCAAGGACCCTGCTTATCACTCTCTAGTAGGACCAGATGTAGAAGGAGGGCCAGGAAACAAGGGGAAGCAGAGGGAAGAGTAAGTGGGATGCTGGGGAATACAAGGACTGTGCTTTCTTCGGTTTATAGGGCTTGTTAAATCTTGAGTAGCAAACTTAGGAAGTTGTTCAGGAGGAAATAGCTATCTCATGTGGCTGCCTGAGACTGTATAAAGACCATGCAGACTTCTCTTGCATGAGAAAGTTGACCCAGACAAGTGGAAAGGAATTTTCAATTGTAATACTAAAATATATTAAAAATAACAGATCTGGAGGTAAAAATTCATTGTAATCATTCTTGAGAGTCTTGATTCTTCTCTTGATTCTCCTGATATAGTTTATATTTTCATTGTATTTTATTTTATTTTCTCAAGATGGAGAAATGGATTCAAAGTTCAAGTGATTTCATTTTGTTGGGGTTGTTTCCACAAAATCTAACCGGCCTTCTTCTTTTGCTGCTCATCATCCTCGTGTTCTCTCTGGCCTTGTTTGGCAACTCAACAATGATCCACCTCATACGTGTGGATCCCAGACTCCACACCCCCATGTACTTTCTTCTCAGCCAGCTCTCCCTCATGGACATGATATACATCTCTAGTACTGTTCCCAAGATGGCATTCAACTTTCTCTCTGGCCAGAAAAGCATCTCTTTACTGGACTGTGGAGTGCAATCCTTCTTTTTCCTGACCATGGCAGGCTCAGAAGGGCTGCTCTTGGCCTCCATGGCTTACGATCGTTTTGTGGCCATCTGCCTCCCACTTCATTATCCCATTCGCATGAGCAAAATGATGTGTCTGAAGATGATCATAGGATCCTGGATATTGGGCTCCATCAACTCCTTAGCTCACACAGTCTATGCCCTTCATATCCCTTATTGCCAGTCTAGGTCCATTAACCATTTCTTCTGCGATGTTCCAGCCATGTTGCTCCTGGCCTGTATGGACACTTGGGTCTATGAGTATGTGGTGTTTGTGAGCACAAGCCTGTTTCTCCTACTTCCTTTCCTTGGCATCACTGCTTCGTATGGACGGGTCCTTTTTGCTGTCTTTCATATGCGCTCAAAAGAGGGAAAGAAAAAAGCCTTCAGCACGTGTTCAACACATTTAACTGTGGTGACATTTTACTATGCACCTTTTGTCTACACTTATCTTCGACCTAGGAGTCTCCGTTCACCTGCAGGAGATAAGACTCTGGCTGTCTTCTACACGATCCTCACACCCATGCTCAACCCTGTCATCTATAGTCTGAGGAATAAGGAGGTGCTGGGGGCCATGACCAGAGTGTTTGGTATATTTTCTTCCACAAAAACGTGATCAACCATCCCTCCTCCTCTTTCAGTTGTCCCTGGACAATGCCATGAAGCAGTGCTGTCCACTGTAAATATAATGTGAACCACATGCATGTTTAAAAACTTTCTAGTGAT